TCTTTCTTTGTTTGTTTAATATGTGTCTTGGTGTGTTTCTCCTTGGATTTATCTTGTATGGGACTCTCTGTGCTTCCTGGACTTGGGTGACTGTTTCCTTTCCCATGTTAGGGAAATTTTCCACTATAATCTCTTTGAATATTTTCTCAGACCCTTTCTTTTTCTCTTCTTCTGGCTCCCCTATAATTCAAATGTTGGTGTGTTTAGTGCTGTCCCAGAGGTCTCTGAGATTGTCTTCAATTCTTTTCATTCTTTTTTCTTTATTCTTCTCCTTAGCAGTTATTTCTACCATTCTGTCTTCCAGCTCACTTATTCATTCTTCTGCCTCAGTTATTCTGTTATTGATTCCTTCTAGTGTATTTTTCATTTGTTATTTTGTTGTTCATCTCTGATGGTTTGTTCTTCAGTTCTTCTAGATCTTTGTTAAACATTTCTTGTATTTTCTCGATCCATGCCTCCATTCTATTTCAGAGATTCTGGATCATCTTTACTATCATTACTCTGAATTCTTTTTCAGGTAGGTTGCCTATTTCCTCTTCATTTATTTGGTCTTGTAGGTTTTTACCTTGTTCCTTCATCTGTGACATATATTTTGTCATCCCTTTTTTTTTTTGGACGGGTGGGATTGTGTTCCTGTCTTACTGGTTGTTTGGCCTGAGGCTTCCAGCACTGGAGTTTGTAGGCTGTTGGGTAGAGCTGGGTCTTGGTGCCAAGATGAGGACCTCCAGGATACCTCACTCTGTTGAATATTCCCTGGGGTCTGAGGTTCTCTGTTAGTTGAGTGGTTCGGACTCAGAGCTCCCACCGCAGGAGCTCAGGCCTGACCCCTGGCTTGTGAACCTAGATCCCACAAGCCATGCAGGATGGCACAAAAAAAGGAGCAGAACAATAATAAAGAGTAAAAAATAAAATAAATTAGAAAACTAACAGATATGTTAGAAAAAAATTTAAAAATTAAAATATAGATGAGGGTCTTCCCTGGTGGTGCAGTGGTTAGGAATCTACCTGCCAGTGCAGGGGACACAGGTTCAAGCCCTGGCCCAGGAAGATCCCACATGCCATGGAGCAACAAAGCCCATGTGCCACAACTACTGAGCCTGTGCTCTAGAGCCTACTAGGCACAACTGCTGAGCCCATGCACCACAACTACTGAAGCCAGTGTGCCTAGAGCCCCTGCTCCACAGCAAGAAAAGCCAGCACAATGAGAACCACGCGCACTGCAACGAAGAGTAGCCCCTGCTCTCCACAGCTAGAGAAAGCCCACGTGCAGCAACAAAGACCCAATGCAGCCAAAAATAATAAAATAAATAAACTTATCAAAAATATATATATAGATGAAACAACAACCAGAAGGTAAAACAACCACAATAGCAAAAAAGAGGAGGAAAAAAAAAAGCCGGAAAAGGCCTTGGCTGTGGGGCATGGGGCTTAGGAAGGGGGCGGGGTTTAGGTGGTTGGCGGGACCTATGTTTAGGGCCCACAGGGCTGGAAAAGGAGGGGCCCAGGAGTGCCTCTGGCCTTGGAGGGCAGAGGACCAGGTCCAGGACCCCAGCAGGATCCCTGGGCCTGAGCGGGTCGGGGATATGCTAGGCGTGTTCCCCCATCCTCTGATCCCAGAGCGTCCCTCCCTGTTAGCCTCTCTTCTTCCCCCCCACTCCTATGCCCCTAGGACCCATGTGGCCAGAAGGTGGCCTCAGAAGGCAGGGGACCAGACGTGGAAGCTCAACAGGCTTCCCAGGGCCGAGTGGGCAGGGGAAATGCCTGCAGCGCTTCCCCTGACCCTCTGGTCCCAGAGGGTTCCCTGTCCACTGTCCACCTCTCCTCCTCTTCTCCCCCCTCCATCCTTCCCACACCCCTAGGACCCATGCGGCCGGAGGGGGCACCAGAGGGCAGAGGACCAGGCTCAGGAGCCCAGCAGGCTTCCCGGGGCCCAAGTGGGTAGGGGAAACGCCCACCGCGCTTCCCCTGGTCTTCCGAGCCCCTGAGGGTCCCTCCAGGCGTGGGAACACCTCCCCTCACCCAGCCACCCCTCATGGGCACCGGTCCTGTCCAGCCTCCACTTCTCCTCCCCCGCACTCCCCCCCACATCCTACCCAGTCACTTGGGGGTTCCTCCCATCTCCTTGGGCTTCAAGGTCCCCCACCAGCGTCCGGCAGGTGCCCTAGTTGTGGGAAGATACGAACTCCACATCCTCCCATGCTGCCATCTTGACTCCATGCCCTTGGGAAAAAATATTAAAAACTTTTTAAAAATTCACTTTATTGAAAAAAGGTCATAGAGCTTCAGTATCCAACCTTTTTAGAAAAAAAATCATTTTCTCCTGAGGTCTTGAAATCACTCTTGGAGTATAGAAATGGCAATAATCCTGGCAGCCTGTACCATCGTGGCAGAATTATTTTGGGGCTGAGAGAAAGGAGACATGTTGCCTTTTCCCTCTACTCCTCAACTAGTCAAGATATGAAGGTTGATATTTTATACCTGTGATTTATCTGCTAGCATAGACTTTCTGGCAAGAACTGAAAATGTTGGGGGTGTCCCAAATAGAAATAATGACAGAAATCAAGACAAGCTGAATATTACAAGCACTGGCACTTGATGCCTCTTTGGGTTGGAAAAAGAAAGCCAACATAAAGAAGTTTTATTGTCTGAGGAAAATAAAAATTGAATGAATGAATGAGTGAATGCTAGGAGAGATTTAATATTTTAGTGCCCCAGAAAATTTCAAGCATCACAGGAAAAAGTTTGATATATTTTTTGATAGAAAAGATGGGATTTAAGCTTTCTTGGGAAGACAATGACTTTTCAAATTTTTACCCTCATACTCTACAGGCACTGTCTCATTTTATCCTCACTTCAGCTCTGTGAGGTGTAAGTATCATTATCCTCAGTTGGCAGATGAAAATACTGACACCTAGAGAGCTTGAGTAATTTGTCCAAGGGCGCACAGTGATAGTGCTGGGATTTGAACACAGGACATCTGACCAAAGGTTGTGCCCATAATCCTATGGTGTATAGATACTAGTGGTTTTTAAAGTATGAGAATCATGGAGTTGCACCATCAGCATCACCTGGGAACTCATTAGAAATGCAAATTCTCAGGCCTCATCCCAAGCCTGGTAAATCAGAAACTCTGGGGATGGGGCCCAGCAACCTATGTTTTGAGAAGTCCTCCAGGTGATTCTGGTGCACACTCATGCATGAGAACCACTGTTGTATTTGCTCTGACAGAGATGTTGGAAGGAAAACTGATAAAGAACTTTTTTAGGGATTGTGTTAGAGATGTCAAGGTAGTAGTGGAGAATATGGGAATGAAGGGATACCATGTAAAGCTCCAGTAGTGAAAAGGATGTGAGAAGGGAAAGAATATCATTGATACTGGTAGGAAGCAACTGTGGAGAAAAATTAGATGTGTTGTTTGGGTTTCATGTTCTCAAATGAAATGATTGGAATTAGAACAGTGTGTTAGTTATAATTGCTTCAGTATAAATGAAGAGGTCACTTATATAAGGGCAATCAAATACTTCAGGATTAAAGTTGAATTATTTCACAGTCATTGTAGAAGTTGAAATTTAGCTAGGATCAAAGAGGGATTCTCTTCTTTTTCCTGTGAATTAAAAAAAACAAAAACTAAATAGTGTATATATTGATGTGATCGTGGTTACGTGGGTTTATACATTTGTCAGAACTAATCAAAGTATGTGCCCTAAAAATTGGGTGCGTATTATCATATGTAAATTCCGTATAAATAAGTTGATTTAAAAATGGGGGTGTGGGACTTCCCTGTGGTGCAGTGGTTAAGAACCCACCTGCCAATGCAGGGGACACAGGTTTGAGCCCTGGTCCGGGAAGATCCCACGTGCCACAGAGCAACTAAGCCCGTGCACCACAGCTACTGAGCCTGTGCTCTAGAGCCCGTAAGCCACGACTACTGAGCCTGTGTGCCACAACTACTGAAGCGCGTGTGCCTAGAGCCCATGCTCCGCAACAAGAAAAGCCACTGCAATGAGAAGCCCTTGCACCGCAACAAAGAGTAGCCCCTGCTCACCGCAACTAGAGAAAGCCCGTGCGCAGCAGCAAAGACCCAAAACAGCCAAAAATAAATAAATAAAATTTAAAAAAAATTTTTAAATAAATAAAAAATAAATAAAAGTGTGTTCCTGTGTCAAATAGTGAGTTCCTGTCACTGGAGGTGTTCGAGCAGAGATTCAATAGCCACTTGTCAGAAGTGTAGTGAGGCTTCGCACAGCTGAGGGGAAAATTGCACTCAATGACCTAAACATTCCTTCTACCCAGAGATTCCATGAGTTTCTGTTGTGTCAGCACAGGTGTTGCCTTTTTATGTAGAATGCTTTATTAATATGTTGGATCTGAAACATTTTAACTTGTCATGATTTTAAAATGTATTAAAGAGTACAGGTGTAAAACATGGGACAAAAAAACAAACAAACATGGGACAGTAAATTCATTTACTACTCCCTAGTGCATATCACAGGTGGAACAATTTCATGGCAGATCAAGCCATATTATATTTTTATTCCTAAAATATAATAATTTGTGTTTATTGGATCAAGGGCATTTAACTCCTAAGGAAATTTGCCTGTTTTAAACTGAATCTTCAAAGAAGGTAAGTTAGAAAAGGCCTTTTGGTTTGATTTTGTTTTTGTTTTTTTCTGTAAAACCCAACATGACACGTAAATGCTTATTTAGATATTTTTCCTCCTGGAAAGTAGATTCATTTGGAGAATAATGTTTGTATGTTTGATTGAATTTTAGTGTGAGATGCTTTTTCCTATAAAGGTGCCACCCCCTTCTTATCTAATAATTAAGTTACCCTCTTTTTTTCATATGAGTGAATTTTACTTTCGACATCGTTTATCAGATGCTATTAAGACTGCAAGGCTGCAGTACCCAGGGCTCTGATTACAGGAATTAAAATAGTGTGTATTGGCTGACTGCTGCTCCCCAGCAGGAACGCTCACTCATAATTCCTTTGCATCTAGTCTCAGCAGGAGAAGATTGACAGCGTTGAAGACCATGTCAACAGTGCTGCTGTGAACGTTGAAGAGGGAACCAAAAACTTGGGGAAGGTAAGATTCTGCTCCTGCTGACAAATCAATGGTACTCTGGCTCTCAGGAATCCCTAGTATTAACCCAATTGATCTGCTCTCTTTAATGTTGAGGGAACCAGCAATTAAGAAAATAAGGAAGAAATGACACATAGGTAGTGCGAGAAATCAATGGCTCTTGTAATATTCTGCTCTAAGATTCATTCTGTTGTGAGAGAAATTTTTTCCAAGAGAATAAACTGAAGCCCTACTTTAAGGCATTTGGTGTTACAAGGGGATATTTGCAGGAGTTCAGGGAGAGGCATAGAGAGGGTTTCCAGAATCCAATAGGGGCAAAATTGTAAGGACGTGACAGCACACATGGAGTGGGTCCATTTGTTTCCCATAGAATGTTGCTTTTAACCCCAGGTATTCACACGAAATAATCTCTGCAATTTAAAAGCTTTGGGAGTATCTGTGGCTGCTGAAACTGTTTAAATAAGCCAGCTAGATAGTTAGTGGATTGATTGTTTTGCAAGTAAAATCAATTTATAGCAGTCTACTCTTTGTAGCTCATTTCTCTTAAGTTCTGAGATCTGGAGCAATTGTAGTACCTGTGGAATATTTTCTCCCCTCCCCTGACCCCAGAACCATCTTTAAGGTTAATTATGTACCACGAGTTAAAGAGGCATTGCCAGGAGTAATGAGAGGAAAATGCACATCACCACAGGGAGATACTCTCAACTCAATTTCTAAATTGAATTTTTTTTTTTTTTACAGGCTGCAAAATACAAGCTGGCAGCTCTGCCTGTGGCAGGTGCACTCATCGGAGGAGTGGTGGGGGGTCCGATTGGCCTCCTTGCAGGCTTCAAAGTGGCAGGAATTGCAGCTGCACTTGGTGGTGGGGTGTTGGGCTTCACAGGTGGAAAATTGTTACAAAGAAAGAAACAGAAAATGATGGAGAAGCTCACTTCCAGCTGTCCAAATCTTCCCAGCCAAACTGACAAAAAATGCAGTTAAAAAACAAACTTCAGTATTACTGGCGCCAACATGTCTATCCTTTGCTGCTGTTGGACACTCAGTCAGCTTTTGGAACATGATTATATCAAAATAGTGGCTACAGATGCTCAAGTGGGATTGAACTGTGATAAGTGGATATATTTTGTTGTTTACTAGGGTGTTAATGGGGATGTTAGAGATTGAGGAGCCTGGACTGAGGGTGTACAGTGTTTGTCAGGTAAAGTTTAAGGACTGCCAGGGAGCATATTTTTTACCTGGAAATGTGAAAACCCAACCATAACTTTGATAAGGATTTGTGATGTGTGAACATGTTGGGTTATGGAAGGATAGTTTTCAGAATAGTTTCTTCCATAACCCTGACTTGGAGACTCCAAGGCTAAGCATATTGTAAGTATGCTTCTTTATCTCCTAAATATAGATTTTTTAGGCATTTTATCAGAGAAAAGAATGGAAGTTCAGCAGCTTTTCATATCAAATAGGGAAATCAGGACCTAGCAAGGTGCATGAGTAAACTGCATAACGGAGTCCATTTGGTGAGCCTTATTGCAATTTGGTCTAACAATATTTTCAAGTGAAGGAAACAAATAGTGTAAGAAAATGGAAAGAGAGGCCCAACTTCTCTTTCAGTCTTAATTTATGACCCTGGCTTCTGCTCTGAACTCTTCTTTCTGCCTCTCTATAAATAAAGAACACAGAGTCTCAAGTGGTAGACTTATAAAGCCAGTCACTAAGCTTGCTCTGTCAGCCTGTCTCTTAACACCTCAAATATCTAGTCCCCTCTGCCTTTCCTCCCTTGTAATTTTGAAAAGTTCTTTGACTTATGGGGTGAATTCTACCCATGTGTAATGCAGACTTCTCTCATAATCTGTTTTTTTTTTTAACATCTTTATTAGAGTATAATTGCTTTACAATGATGTGTCAGTTTCTGCTTTATAACAAATGTTTAGTTTTTGTTTTGGGGGTTTTGGTTTTTTTTTTGGTATTGGCTGCCATCTTTGTTCATCCTCTACTGTAACCTCTAGGTAAAAAAGAAAGTGAGAGAAAGAGGAGGTGTCGATTTCCAAGTACTTCCAGCGCTGTTAGACTTTGAGCTAAAAAATAAGCAAGGGGGGAACACCAGATCATTTCTTGGGGCATCTTACAGTTTCACGGGGCTCATGTACTTGCCGTGCAGGGAGTGTTTGACCCTAAGTCTCTTAAGCTGGCACTTGGAGGAGCTAAGAACTAGCTTTCTACCTCACTTCTGTTGCTACCATCCTTTTCCCCAGGCTTTGCTATCTCCTGTGATTCCTTCACTTTGCACAGCTGCTGTTTCTTCCCAAGAATGGCATTCATGCTTGCCTTTTCTCACATTCAAGGTAGATGATGGACAAAGCCTGATGCCAAAACTCAGTCCTGGTGGAGGATTTGTGGTGCTAATCTCAACACTTGACATTGACAGCAAGCATGGCTCAGCCCAACCCACTGTCTATCTCAAATAGCAGAAAAGTTTTAAATTTAGAAAAAAAGAACTTAAGGTTATATAGGCAGCCTCATCCTGTACCCTCAACTGATTTGAAATAGGAAGGAACCACCTTTTGCCTTATTCTTTATTTTCTGAAGACAGAGGAAAGGGCATCTACATCACAGAAGATGTGAACTCTGCTCAGGAGCCAAATGGATTCATCGAGTAGTTGAATGGTTTATCACTTCTCTCTTGCTGAGTTTACTCTTAATAACTTTTATTGATTGCTACCTTTTACTTCTGTATCTAATCTAAAGAGACCTTTCTCTTTCATACTTTTTGCTTCTCACCAGTGAATTCCAATGAGGCAACACACCATTTCTCATTGTTCTTAAATAACTGGAAAACATCAAGTATTGCTACCTGCTGACTCATATCTTTAATATAATACCAAAAAGGCAAGTACTTTGAGTAAGTGTCAGATTCTGATCCAGTATTTGATATGTGATCTTTATCCCAACCTTACAGGTTGGGATAAATACTTTTGGACTCCTTCTTTTTATATTTTCTGATCCTTGCTGTCCCTTTAACACAGGGCGTTCAAACCAGAATGAGGATCAGAATTGCCCAGGGTGCTAATTTAAAACAAGATTCCTAAACTTCAGTCCCATGGGTTCTAATAATAGCCAATCTGGCCTGGTCAGCTAAAATTATAAATTTAAGATACAGTTATTTCAAGATTCAGCTGTATTGTTGAATTCTGTAATGTCTAATATTCTACCCTTCAGCCAACCTAAAATTGGCTAGCTCACCATCTTAACAGCAGTAGGGACTCATTATACTGTCAGGCTGGTTTTACCTCAAGACGTGAAGGAGAAAAGAGGCCTGTTATTGACCCTCACAGTTTGTTTTGGGAACTCTCCTTTTTACTGAGCCAGTGTGGGACATCACTGTGGTATGTGCTCATATAGGCCTTTGATTTTTACTACTCATCAGGATTTGAATATTACTCTAACAGTCTTCATGCTTAGGCAAGTTACAATCCTTTTAAAAAGTTTTGGGCTTCCCTGGTGGCGCAGCGGTTGAGAATCTGCCTGCTAATGCAGGGGACACGGGTTCGAGCCCTGGGCTGGGAGGATCCCACATGCCACGGAGCAACTAGGCCCGTGAGCCACAACTACTGAGCCTGTGCGTCTGGAGCCTGTGCTCCGCAACAAGAGAGACCGCGATAGTGAGAGGCCCGCGCACCGCGATGAAGAGTGGCCCCCACTTGCCACAGCTAGAGGAAGCCCTCGCACAGAAACAAACACCCAACACAGCAAAAATAAAATAAAATTAATTTAAAAAAAAAAAGAATATTTAAAAAAAAGTTTTATAATTTAAAATTATTTAGAAATTGTATCTAATTTCCCCATAATAGAACCTAATAGCCAACTTTTTGTAGAAATTTCAGATGTGCTTAATCAACTATAAATGATATACCTATAAAGTATAAAGTGTTTAGAAGTATAAATTAGTCAGTATAACACAGAAACCAATCTTAAAATAGAATTTAATGCCCTACAGTTATCAGATTAAATTTATCTTGTCTATGATTCATGTCTTATTTTTATTGCAACAAGTTAGAAGGTAAGGAACACTTTAAGTTCTTAAAATTTACAGGGTCTCATTTGGATAAAGGCAGCATTCCTAAAGCCTTTTTAATATAATAATCTGAGAATTTCTCTGTAGAGCAGAGACTTTGAAACTTTTTGGTTGTAATCCACAGTAAAAACTGCATTTATATCAAAACTCAGCATGTGCATTGTGGAACAATACTTTCCATTATGTACAGTGTACTCTGATGTTTTTTATTGTTTCAGTTTTTTAAATATTCTAGTTGTAACCTACTAAATTGATTTCATAATCTACCAAAGGGTTTTTTGACCCTTAGTTTGAAAAAAAAAAAAAAAACACCCTTATAGAGGAACTGATATTTATGGAGTATTTTCTGTTTGCCAGGCACTTCACTAGGCATTTTACAGGTAAGGAAACTGGGTCTCAGAGAAGGTAAATAATTTGCAGAGGGTTATTCAACTACAAAAGGGTGAAGCCAGGATGTAAACTAGGTCTGTTGAACTACAAAAACTTCTGTTACTCTCATACTGTGTTGCTTCTGTATATTAAAATTGAGATGGGCTATTCACTCTGCTTCCCCCAAACACCCATCTATTCTGTAAGGCAGGCTTGCTTTGAAATTACACATGCCGTTCATTTGCACTTTTCTTAAAATCTTCTGTTTCCTCACCAAATGGCCAGCAGCCTCGAAGTTTTTAATGGTGGCCAACGCAGAAGTACGTAGTGCTGAATTTGGTCCTTAGACTATAAAATTAATAGTGTTTCCATCCCACCCACACATCCTACAGATTTCCTTATATTTGTGAGTCATAGCCATCACTTAAACAGTGCTTTTTATATTGAATTTTAAAACAAACTTTAATATTTTTTAAAACAATCATAACTCATAGAATCAAATGATTATCTTTTAAAATTGTACCCTTGGGAGGCCATGCACTTACTGTAGTGATGCTAGTATTAGAATATTTTTGAAACTCTTCTTTTGGAATTGCCTCTAAAGACATTTTACAAATCACATAAAAAAAGCCATCTCAGCGTTTATCAGTCAGAGACTCTGCTCCCTTGTCCTTATGACCTCTTCTCTCTTCCTTCCTCAGTTTTGCTTTTCTTCTGCTGATTTAGCTCTCCTACCCACCTAAGCTGGAGCCAATAACCTAAGAAGCCCCAGAAAAGGGGTGTGCTGGCCAGAGTTCCTGGAGCAAGAACTTTCAGTTATACTGAAGCCGAGTGCTGTATAGGGGGAGTTCTGCGAATCCAAAAACCTTCCTCTGTGGGCTGCCTGCCTGCCCGTAAGTGCCCTAAAGTAGTTTGCACAGGAGTAAGGACTGAATACTGGCGTTATCTATCAATCACAAGAAGCTGTACATGAAATGTACAACGTTTTTCTCCAGTGAAAGTCACAGAAGCCAAACCAAGCCATTCTTTGTGTTAACTTAAAAATGGAAAAGTCATTTTCAGGGTCCCCCTTGCCCTTCGTTGCTGCCACGTGAAATCTTTGGGAGGAAGGATGAAGAAAAGCATGGGGAAATGGTTCTCCTGTGAAATGGGACATTTTCTTCTTATATTAAAGTATAACATGGTGGTGGCTATCAGGTACTTATGAGTGCCAGAAACTCTTTTCAAGTAGTCAGAGGCCTAATAAAAGGTAGGGAGGCTTCCCCCTAGCCTAAATTAATGTGAACAGTTCAGGTTCTGTTTGTGTTCTTATTAACATTTCATGTTGTTTCTAACAAGATGTTCTCAACTATTCATTAATTTGACACCATTTTACAGAGACACTTCTTGGGTATTGTAAACTATCAATGGTAAAAGATCCACATATAGTCCATATTACTGCCCTCAAAGAAATTATTTATTGTGGAAGACAAGAAAAACGTGTGTGCAATATTAACAAAAGAAATAAATTCATATAAAAATGTAAAAAGTGTCAAAGGCAAATGATTTGCCCAAGATTAAAGCTAGTTAGCACAAAAGCTAGAATTATAACCATGGTCTAAGAAAAAAAAAATCCACAAAGTAATTTAACTGAGTTTGTTACACCATATCAGGTTGCCCGCTGAAGCCTGTGGTCTTTCAGACCAGCTTTAACATTCCAAATCAGTCAGCAGCTATAGTGGAAAGAGAATTGGATGGGGAATCAGGAGATCAGAGTTTTACTTGTGGCTTTGTCACTTTTACTCAGGCATAGCTGCTTTCTCCCATTCTAGCCAGGGATTCTCCATTCTTTATATCTAGCCTCTTACTGGGTCTTGTTAATTGTTTGAATATTAGTTGTGTTCATTTCTTAAATATATTCATAACCATCACTCTAGTAAAAGACTTTATTACCTCACATCCCCTACCTCATCTTCCCCAACTTTAGGCCATTCCCCACATCATTGCCACAAGAACTGTCTTTCATTTTTCTGCTGAAATATTTTCAGCAGATCCTGTTGAATACCTGATAAAGTTCAGCCTTCCATATACTGGCCCCAGCTTTGTCTCTTCATACTCACTACTCATCCATCTGACAATGCCACTGAAAATCAGACATTCCATAA